CGGTGAGCGCTAGTGAGCGCTAGTGAGCACTAGTGAGCGCTAGTGAGTGCTAGTGAGTGCTAGTGAGTGCTGGTGAGGCCACGCTGGAGTAAACAGAGGACAAAAAACCAACCATCAGCAAAAACCCTTGCTAGCAAACTCTGTTTGCCATACCCCCTTAGGGGGGCCCCCCTAAATCATAATTCATTGAAGCGACAGAGTAATTATGACGATATCTGTAAGGCTACAATCGAAAAAAGAGGGTTGCGTTTCGCGAGATAACGTTCCCGGCCGAAGGAACACGGAAGCTTCGGCGCTTTGGTCACGTATGCTTTTTAGGTGAAAGGATTAACCCAAACTACAGGCATCAAGACAGACACCGAAGCCTGTTAAGACTTCCACGGCGCAGGGTCTCGACGTCTGGAATCGACATCGCAAGAACCCTGAAAAGCTTGCTTCTTCCTCCAGGTGTCACGTCGCCACGATGCTCGGCAAACAGCCTCAGCGGCTGTGGATCGGAGGATTGGCTTCACAAGGTTCGGGGGCTGGGTTTAGCTGAGCATGCTTTGGCAGTGCAGTGTGGCCGGTTTGGCCGCAAGCCTCGCGCGACGCGCACGAGGCATACGTAGCGCAAGCGAAACTTCTGAGCGGATGCAGCAACATTCGGCGGACGGTCCGCAAGCAACACGAACTCCAAAGGCCGATTTTGTTGAGCTTCTATCCGGCCAAGGAGCTCTACTAGCTCCAGGTAGCCCGAAGACGCGGCAGCGAAGAGCGGCCTAAGGGCATCGTCCAGGCTGGCATGGGGGTTCAGGCCTCGGAGGCCTTCGGGGTTTCAATAGGGTTTAGGCTTTATAGGAGACGCGGTTTTGGGCTAATGTTCGAGAGTTTGGGGTGCGTCGGGGGAAGCAGTTGGGGATAGTGGACGGCGACGAGATCGAGAGGTTTAGGGTCCGGGCAGGAAATGCTGGAGATGGCTGTCGCTTCGGGGGTTACCTGCCATGAAGGCCGGAAATGCCAAACTTGCTCGTGAAATCTCCAAAACCCCAACATCAAGCGAGCTGTTGGCTGCTGGTATTGATCATTTGAGCCTCCGAAATCATGGACGCAGGGGCGTAGTTTATGAAGGCAAACCTTACACCCGTGATTCTCCTTGGGCTTAGGATCTTACAGCCCTCGCGCACGAGTTTGCGAACCATGATACGAATATTAGCCGAACTGGAAACTCCAATCACTCATCCGAACGCTTCCAGCCCCGAGCACACTGCCCAAATGCAAACAGCTGAATCCTTCCGACTGCGACTGTTTGCCACAACAGGTGCGTATTTCCGCCGCAGTCCGACTGGTTGACGTCGGCGGCAGCACCTGCTGATTCCCCCTACTTCTGCAGCCGTTCCGACTCGATTTGCTGAGCTGAGACTTCCGATGCCTTGCAGCCTGAACCCAACGCAAGGCAATCTCAATGCCGAAGCATCCACAATTTTGCCTTAGCTCTTGAGCTGTCTTGCTTCAGTCTAAACAGAACAGCCGTACACAACAACGCTGATCAACGCAATCACGATGAACACGGCTGAAAATCCCTGGACGCGAGCCTACAATAATGCCACCGTGGTTGTCAGCATGAGCATCAACCTCACCATTATCATCGCGGGCCATAACAATACTTGCACATATTCTCGAGACCTCACAATGTGAAGAGAAACATAAGCAGTAGTCGTTCTACATAATAGCAGTAGTCGTTCTACATAATAGATATAGCAGCAGCTGCAACAGCAGCAGCAGCAGCAGCAGTCATCGACGGGGTCGTCGTCATCGCTACTTTCTGTTTCTAGTCGTGGTGATCCATGCCGTCGCCGTCCTCCTCGTCGTCGCCTTATTCTGGTCCTGTGCTGGTCCTGCTGTACTGGGTTTATGCTTCGATTGCGCTATCAGGACAACTGTCTGTGCAGCCCGTAGCAAGTGTTAAAGTACAAAAGAAAATCCAGGGAGCAGCCACAGAATCATGCAGTATAGGGTATAGGGCCGTTGGCTGGCCGCGCCTAGCAACGCCTGCGCGAGGGGGACAACACCCTTGGTCACTGCCGCCCGGAGCGGGTTGACCTGCAGCTGTCCAACGTTGGGAGAAGGGTGGCAACTAACCACACCTGAACGTGCGCTCAAAATCAAATGCAGAGCTTCTGGAATCCGTCCGAATCCTGAGCAAGCGCTTCGCATGATGTTTCCACCTCCGGCTACTTGCCATGGCTACTTTCCAAGCTAAGGCGCGACAAGAACGAGAGCCGCGACTCCAAACGTGCTCCCAAAAAATGAAATCCAAGAACACTAGCACTGCTGAATTGCTGCGGTAGTTTCGAAGGCTGGGCTCTGGATTTTAAGGGCTTTCCCCCAACCCAATCTCTAAACCCCTCAGCGCCATCTAGACCCTGTAATGTAGGGGCCTTAATAATTAGAATAGGGTTGTGGGGGTTCCTTATTTTACTTATATTGTAGTATAAGATACCCCAAACCCTATTCTAATTATAACGGCCGCTGTATTAGATTCGGGGGAGTTGAGGGTTTCGCCGGGCCGCCCCCCAGGTGTCGCATTTATTGACCTGGCCCCCGCTCGCAAGGAGCAGTTGAACGACCTTGGACTACGGCCGCGGTGTAAGTTTTTAAGGGTTCGTCTGCATGAGAATATATATATATATATACATACATACATACATACATACATACATACATATATATATATATATAGATAGATATACACATACGGAGAGGAGGGAGAAAGAGCGAGAGAGAGAGAGAGAGAGACATATATATATATATGTGATATTAGGTGATACACCATTTGTACCTTATACATACATATGTATGTATATATATATATATATATGTATATATATATATATATTTACACACATATACATATTATATATATATAGTTATATATACATGTCCTCATCGGAGCGACATTCCAGGACGATCTCA